ATTCCTGATTCTGGGCTTGTATGCCCAATTCTATTTGTTACCTCCACTTGGATGTCTCATAGGCAATCCAGATTCAACATGCCTGAAAAAGACTCCACAACCTTCTCCATACCTGTTCTGATTATTGTCAAATGCTGTCTGGTTTACTGCAAGTAGATTTACTGAAAACACATTTCCAATCCATCCTTTGCTAACACTGTAGCTCATCCGCTGTCATCTCTCATCTGACTTCCTAACCGATTTCCTGTTAGTGTTTCTATTCTTGCCTAGCAGTGTTTTCTCCACAGAGCAAACAGTTATATTTTTAAAATGTAAAACACATCTTATCACTGCCCTGCTCAAAAATCTCCAATGATGAGGGGTGGGGTGAATGGAGAGTTAGTGTTTGGTGAAGACAAAGTTTCAGTTTTGCAAGATGAAAAGAGTTCTATGGATGGACGGTTGGTGACCGCACAACAGTGTGAATGGACTTAATGCCACTGATCTATACGCTTAAAAATGGTTAAGATGGTCAATTTTATGTTATGTGTATTTTTCAAAAAACACACACATTTGTGCATTTTACATAATTTTTAAAAATCTCTGATACATGAGTAATGTAATTAGAATAAAACTGGAACCTATTACTCTAGCCTACATGTTCTACATGATGTGGTTTCTCTTCTTTCTCCTACTCGTTCTCATTTAGAATGACCTTCCTCTCTCCCAAAAACCACTTAACTCCAGCCATTATGGCCTTCTAAGTTATTTCATGATCACAGCAACCTCACCCCACCTTCAAATTGTACACTGGCTACTTCTTTTACTCCCAGATCTTCCATGTCTGACACCCATTGTCATCCAAATTATATAAATTTACAGCCCTATGACTATCTGAAATTCTGCTGATTATTTCTTGTTTACCATTTTACACATTCTTCTTTGCCAATCCCCCAAACTAAGTTCCATGGAAGCAGAAAACTTATCTCAGTGGTTTCACTACATTATCTCCACTGGCTAGCACAATGTTTTTGAACCATTTTTGTAGCAGTGAAACTTCTGAGAACCTGGTAAATCCTATGGGCCTTTCTCAAAACATAATTTTTAAAAACAAAACAAAGCAATTATGTTGAAATACAGTTATCCAAATTCTTTTAAAATTTTGATATAGTAATATATGTCCCTATCTATGAACACATTCTCTTCTTATTTCCTGTGGAGTACTCAAGATCTAGTGGAAACTGAAATCATTCATAAACCATAATAGGAAGTACCTGCAATGTGATATGAAAAGACCTATGTAATGAAATTACAGGTTCTGGTAATACTACTGTGGTTTGTTACCAACATTCAAAATGGAAAGAAATGATAGCTTTCAATTAGAGGTTAGTGAAAATAAAGATGCAACCTGTTTCTAATCCAAGTTCTGTGTTTTATGTAACCAGAAATAATGATAATTTGTATTTAAAAATCTTGACTTACTGCTAACATATGTTTATAATTTATTAATAAGTGTTGTGTGGGTTAAATTCTGTTCTCCCCCCCTCCAAAGATATGTTGATGTTCCAACTCCTGGTACCTTACAATGTAATCTCATTTGGCAATAGGGTCTTTCTAGAGGTAGTAAGTTAAAATGAGGTCATTAGGTGGCCCCTAATCCAATGTGACTGGTGCCCTTATAAAGTGGGAAATTTTGGAGAATGTACAGATGAAAGGTTATGTGAAGCAACATAGTGAGACACCACATGATGATGAAGGCAGAGATCAAGCAGGGTGATGCATCTCTAAGGCAAGGTATGCCGGAGGGCCAGCGAACCACCAGCCCTCAGAAGGAACCAACCAACACAGTGATCTCAAGACTTCTAGCCTCCAGAACGGGCAGACAATACATGTCTGCTGTTAAGAAACCCACTTAGAAGTTCTTTGTTATGGCCACCCTACAAAACAAATGCAGATTTTGCTGTAAGGAGGTGGGGTACTCCTGTAACAAATACCTAAAAATGTGGAAGCAGCTTGGAGGGGGGTAATGGGTTATCTGGAAGAGTCTGAAGATTGGTGATAGGAAAAGGCTAGACTGTTAGAAAAATATGGGTGTTACAGAAGATTCTGGTGGAAGCTCAGAAAGGAAAGAGGAGAGCTGCAGAGAAAGCCTCTATCAACCCTAGACAGTACGCACATTGTCATGAACAGAAATGCCACAAATATGAATGTTAAAGGTGTTTCTGGTGAAGTCTCAGGCAGCACTCAGGACCATGTTATTGGAAACTGGAGAAAAGGTGATCCTTTCCATAAAGTGGCAGAACACTTGGTGGAACTGCGCTCTGCTGGGTAGAGAGTGGAACTTAACGGTTGATGAACTCCGATACTTAACTGAGATTTCTATGCAAAGCACTGAAGGCACTGCCTGGTTTCTCCTTGCTGCTTAGAGCAAAATTCAAGAGGAGAGAGAGAAATTGAAGAAGGAATTGTTAAGCAAAAGGGAACCAGAACTTGAATATTTGGAAATTTCAGTCCATCCATATTGTAAAAAATGAGAGGGGCGTCTGGGTGGCTCAGTCGGTTAAGCGTCTGCCTCTGGCTCAGGTCATGATCCCAGGGTCCTGGGATCGAGCCCCACGTCGGGCTCCCTGCACGGTGCGGAGTCTGCTTCTCCCTCTCCCTCTGCCCCTCCACCCCATTCATGCTGTCTCTCTCTCTCTCTCTCAAACAAAATCTCGAGAGAGCATGTTCTAGAGAGGATACTAAGGGTGTGGCCTGTGAATCCAATCAGCTATCTCAACAGAAATACTGCCACTGACAGTCAGCTTGGACAAAAAGGGGACAGAGATGGGACAAAAGGAAGGAAAGCTATTAGCCTTCCGGGAGTCAAGAGGCAGGAAGTGGGCTGCTAGAGCTATTTGGCTGTGAACATGTATTATCCTTCAAGAAAAGGGAAGAATGACTCTGACAGTGCTTTAGAGGCCCAAGAGGCTGTCACTGCCACCATGGGCCCAGAGGTTTCCTCCTCGGACGTGGAGGCCAGGAAAAGGATGGAGCCCCCAGCGCCTGATACGCCCAGAGGACACAGTGTCCAGCCACAGAGGATTATTCTCAAGCCTTAAACTTTAGTGACATTTGCCCTGTTAGATTTCAGTGAATCTACTTTGCATGTGAGAAGAACATGAATTTTGGGGAGAGCCAGAGGGCAGACTGTCATGGGTTGAAGTATGTTCCCCCAAAAGAGACGTGTTGAAGTCCCAACCCCCAGGACCTCAGAATGTGACTGTATTGGAAAGAGTGTCTCTCCAGAGGTAATAAGTTAAAATTGGGTCAACAGGGTGGGCCCTAATCCAATGTGACTGGTGTCCTTACAAAAAGGGAAAATTTGGAGACAGACATACACAGAGGGAAGACTATGTGAGGAGACACAGGGAGAACACCATGTGATGATGAAGAGATCAGGGTAATGCATCAATATGCTAAGGAAAGCTGAAGAGTACCAGCAAACCCCCAGAAGCTGGAAGAGAGGCCTGGAACAGATTCTCCCTCACAGCCCTCAGAAGGAACCAACCAACACCTTGACCTTAGATTTTTAGTCTCCAGAATTAGGGGACAGTACATT